AGTCAATGAATGCCAAATGAACGTATTGTTTTTCTTTTGATGATTTTGAATGTTAATGCATATGTAAATGTTTTTCTTGAACGTTCCTTACGCGCAAATAAAGGTCATATTGGTGTTAATGAGAGTTTAATGACCATAATGAAAGAAATTTGGACACAAATGAATGTTTATTTTCTGTAAATGAACAGCAAAAGGTGTAATTGCCAGCCGTTTCGTTTCATGTTAGCTCACTGAGAATTAATCCGGCTTTCATCGTGACGCCTAACTTGACAATTGTCGACCTTCACGTCACCTGTCCGTTTGAGGAGAATTATATTATATTGAGTGTTGAATGCTCTTGTAGTTTCAGTTAAATCCTTAAGCTGAATTGTAGAGATTGTCAAAGATGGGTAGATCTCGTATTTTAGCAAACCTTAATTCTTTTATTTGAACGTCAACTTGTTGGTTTGGGGAGGGGGGCTGCAGTGAAAACGCTCCAAATGCAAAGACATCAACATAAAAAGCTACACAGAAGCTCTCTGTTAGTCTCTGTCGGAAGCTCTGAAAGATTGAATGATTAAGAGAAGTCTTAAAGGTTTTTCATGTAACATATAGTTACATGTTTCTCCATTTTAATTGTGCTTAGTGGGTGAGCGTTTCCTTCTAACGTTGTTTCTTTCGATTTGGTAGAAAAAGCTGGTAGAGAACATGACGAGAGAAGGCACACTGGCTGATGCGCAAACAGATAAAATCATGAAACAACATCAAAAACAAGTGGACAAGTTGAATGCGCAGATTGACATGTAAGACTCATTTAATCTTGTCATGCATGAATGCTTTATTCAGATTTTGGCAGGTTCGGTGCGTTGAGACGTTCTTGTCAAACGAGTTTTTAATAAGAAAGTCAAACTTTGGTGTATCATGAGTTGGAGATCATTTGTCATGTCTTTTCAAGAAATCAACGTGTTTGTTCCTTAGTTACTTTTTGTTCGTAGAGTAGAGTTTATTTCCAGTGTTCATTTTCGTACAAAATGATTTTCACTTTACTGCTTACAGGGAGAAGGAAAAACAGATGGAAAAAATACGAGAAAAAATTGCTGCAAAGCAGCAGAAGAAAGCGAGGTAACCTTTTTTAATATTTTGGCACAATATTTAACATATTTTTCATCGTCTTCTGCAGTAACATGGTTCGCACGGGCCTGGAATACTCCTTGAAAAACTGCTAGGTCCTTGAAAACTCCTTGAAAATGATTTTCTCCTTGAAAACTCCTTGAAGTTGAAGAGGCAGTGCTTGAATTTTACGAAAAAGTCCTTGAATACTTGAGAATACAGCAAAATAAGTTCATTTTGACATCAAAAGATTGAAAAGATTGCGTTAACATCTAACATCAGTTGAAAAACTCATTTATCGTCTCAAAATGGCAAAGCTTTTTATAGCAGGACAATTCAGTGTTTCTTATTCAAAGCATCTAAGTAACTGCACCTTCAATGGGGTATCCCAGGTGTATTGTGTAGGCCCCCTCTAAGCAAATAAAACCACGAGGGAAATGTAGCTTGAAGTGTGAAATTTGAAATTTATCCGACTCTGGTCGTGTTTATTGTATCTTAAATGAATTTAAAAGGTCAAAGAGGAAACTGCTTTTATAATCGACAGTGGGAACTTAATTCCAAGTACAAAGGTTGGTTGGGGTGTCTGGAAAACCAGAATAGTGAATAGTCGTGAACAGCGAATAGTCCCGAATAGCGAATAGTATGAAGTCTCGATTAGTGCGAATAGTGTGGAGCAGTCTCGAATAGTGGCAAATAGTGGCAAATAGGTTANGCAGGCGAATAGCAAATAGTATGAATAGTCTCGATCAGTGCGAATAGGAAAATAGTGGCAAATCGTAGCAAATAGGGTACCCAGTATCTCGCAGTCAACCTCGCAACAACGTAGGATGGGATTTTCTCGCTAAAAAGCACAGACGCTTATCAGGACAAAAGGTGTTTCTAAATGTAATAACTTCTGTTTTAACCGCTGCGAAGGCGTAAATACGTCTTTATTAGGTTATCCTTGTGTTTTCTGTTTACTTAATGTCGGTGATGGACAGCCCTAGCCTGAGTCCAGAGAAGAAAAGATAATAAATTCACTGAAATTCTGTTGCTTATTTGGATAATTAATAATTAACACAGGACATTAGATCTAAAGCGGTGACTATTGACAACTATTCGTCACTTTTCGCGACTGTTCATCACTATTCGCACTATTTGAACAATAGAGTGTTTCTGTCGAGGAACTATCGGCTGATAGTTGCCCCGAGAAGCGAAGCTTTGAGGGCAAATATGCTAGTTTTAAGAACATCAGATTTCCAAGGGGCAACTATCAGATTGATAGTTCCAAGACATAAACACTCTGTTGTCTTTATTTTTTAGATGAAAGCCGTGAAAGCCAAATGTAAAATATTAAAAGGAAAATAAACAAAACCCACTTAATACAATTTCATTTGTTTATTTTCTTTATAAGCTCGCTTGTTTACAGAAA